AAGTGTCTGTTCTCTCCCCGTAATGACGCAAACAATACAGTTCTCTTGCAACCCTCAGTGGTGATTGCAATGCAAACAATCTTCTCTGGTATAAGGCAGAAAAAAGAAAAGAAAAGAAGATGCTCAACGGCATATGTGATGCGCTTGTGGCTTTTGCTAGCATTGAAGAACTATTCAAGGTGCGATTGTACAGGTTGGTGGGCATGTGCTTTTGATGGGCCCTATTGCCCTGATCTGCAAGTGCGCCTTTGCGTTCCACCACCACCATCATCACCACACTCAGTGCCCTTCTCAGTCCTCAGCCACTTGCTCTTTTGCTTCTTGTCTTATTTTATTTTCTCTGCATTCGAATGTCACATTACCGAAGAAGAGCTCCCAAATTTAGGAGGTTAGGAGGGGATCAAGTTATAGCTAGGAGTGGGGATTGAGCAATTTGGAGGGTAGCTGCGTGTACTGTGGGAAAAGGTGCGTGCGAGCAAATTCTCATTTGTACAGTTTAGCTCTCTGATACTTTGACTCATGACTGCTGTCAGTGCCTTCTCAAGCCCAAATCTCTAGCCTGTGGCTGTGGACTATCCGGTTCCCCCCTCCTCTTTTATTGTGCCACCTTTGTGGCGGTGCACAGTCATCTCTGCCTCCATCATATTTGACTCCAGCTATGAGAACCTGCTGTCTCTCGTTGACAACGTTGCTTGGATCACAAAGTCCGGCATTACGGGGCATTTATATTAATAAATCACCGTTTATTACTCGTGCGTGATGCGGACATTCACACCCCCAGTGGGAATCGGCTGCATTAGGCTAAATTCATTCTCACTATCTTGCGCACCTTTTCTATCCCCTCGTATTTTTATTATACACTCAATAGATACCTCTTTTAAATACCTCACAGTTTGTTCCACATGTCCATAGCATGATTGCATGAGCTGTTATTACAGACTCTTTGCCAGCTTTTTGTTCCCACGGGGGCAGGAAAAGTCGCACGCATGCAAGATTTGCTTGTGGCCCTCCCATGTTTGTCATCATGTACAGTTATCATCCGGTTTCTCGTAGTATGATATTCAGTAATTATATTTTTATGAGAATATGATGGTTCCACATCACAGCTATTCAGGCTCAAGTACTCACTACTCAATGTTTAATAGGATCCCCACACCTTTTACAAACCCTAAGATCGTCTAGCCAGATGCATATGTGTGAGAAAAGTCATTTCCTGCCTTAGCAACGCAAACTCTATTATACTAGTAGCCGAGATAGTATTGTGATTTTTGTATATCTTGTATTGAGACTGTGAACTAGAGCATTGCCAGCTAGAAGCTGTAAGAGCCACTTTCCCGCGCCTCTGCAAACCGCCAGACAGTCTCGTCATTTGCAGAGGCATGGGAATTAGACACCATTTTTGGATATATTTTCTTTCTACAAATTGAATAAAAATTCTCACTTAGTGATAGCATGAGTATAGTTGGCTCATTTTCAAAGTAGTATTCAGTTTCCACGCCTCTACAAACAACAAGACTGTCTGGCAGTTTGCAGAGGTGCGGGAAAGTAGCTCTTATAGCTTCTAGCTGGCAATGCTCTAGTTCACAGTCTCAATACAAGATATACAAAAATCATAATACTCTATTAGGGCTCTAACTCCACATCTCCCACATGGATTCAGTGTCTGCATCAGGCTATGTCAGCATCGCTGTTTCAGCTGGAGATGCTTACTATAGGGGCGGTCACATTAGCTGTCAACGAAGAAAATGACCCAGATGGCGGACTGGTGGTGAAGTTCTGCACATAGAACTCTGTAACTGACTAAGCAGGGTACAGGGAAATTACATTCCTAGCAACAGCTCAAGACAGTGCATGCTGAGAGGGGACAAGATCTCTTTCGCCACACCCTCATCAATTGTTCGAGTCTCACCAAAATATAGTTTGTTGCCCGGAAATTTGACGATTACGGCATTTGGGAGGAGATATTTAGCCTGTTGTACAATCAACCAATATCTGCTCTGACCATAGCATTTGTCGCTTGGAACACGTTCTCAGCCTTTCCGCCAATCTCACTCCCAAACCTCACCCGCCTTTGGACAAATGTGCCTACTCCCATCAGATCTTCCTGCCTTGTCGAGTTGGTGATTGAGACCGAGTTACTAGACACCCTACGTATGCTTCAAGCACTTCCTCTTGTCAGGAGTATACTGTTTGGAAGTGACATGTACTCCAACCACACGGACACAGGGCCTTGGACATCAGAATTGCCTCCAGTCATTCTCTCTCACTGCAATGGAATCCACTACTGTCTGTCTGCAGCTCGTCACTTATGCTCTCTGTTGTCTGCACTGTGTTTACCCCGCCTTTTGAACTTACAACTCAACCTGGACGTCGACCTCTTTTGGGAATCACGTGCATGACCCACCTATCAAGAATCCGACCCTGCAGCTGACATGTGGATCGAAGACTTGCACCATGCTATGTCGGTGTTATTACTGCAGCTAGAATTGCTTACAAGCGGGGCAGTCACATTGACCATCCATGAGGAGAACAACCCTGACAGCAGACCAGTTGTGAAATTCAGCACACAGGATTCTGTAATTGAGCGGGCAGGCTACAGAGGAATTGTATTCATGGTGACTACCAAAGATAGTACATGCTTTGAGGAAGTAAGATCAGACGTCTTTGCTTCCTTTTGCTATATCATCCCTGCTTTCGCTTGGTTGAGGACAACAACACTGGAACTCTCATCAAAAGTTTGCAAACCTTGTGCTGTAGCTTATCTGGCAGACATCTACTCCATCTTTGCGCCAAGGTCAGATGTGGACAGACGGTTTATGCAAGGGATGTTGGTGAATATGACTGCACTATTGTTCCTGGTGGTTTATGTTGCACAGCACATGGGTGTCGCAGGGATTCCTCTCTTGCGAGTCGACCCAGACATAGGAGGGTGTAAACTTTGGCCGGAGCTAGCCAATCTTCAGATTGTATACCCTCGAGTGGATAACACCGCTTTCACTCGTACCCTGTGCGAAGACATCAAGGCTTTCATTGTTCACAGACAGAGACCGTGTAGGATACGTGTTCAATGGCAGAAGGAGCTATCTGAGGAGACCTGGGAGCTCAGCTTGAAGCAGGTGATGGGGGGCGTGGGCGTCACATTCGAAGAGTTGACTTAGTAACCAGATAATGGGATAGTAATGTTGTTTATGGCACCATGGGTTGTCCTTGCGGAAATAAACTTTCCAAATATTGTAATTTAGGGATATTCTGATCTTGTTGTTGATGTACTTCTTTTTGAGGACGGACAGGTCCAGCACATCCCAGGATGGCATAGGGGGTCCGAGCACCACTTCAACGTGTGGGGCCAGGTGCCTCCCACAGACATATGCCTTCCCACTGACGCCTATTTCAACACAATACGATAGCGAGCACCTTCGCAAGGTGCTTTCGGAGTTGTTCCAAGACCAAGGGTCCACCGGCGGAAGTTCAACGGCCCCCTCCAGAAGTGTAATAAGGCATCTCTCACAATAATTATGTCCACACAACAGCCTACCCACCGAGAATCAGTGTCACTTGGTGAAAATTGTCAAATGACGCATTGCCAAGGTTAACACAGCTGGTTGAGACACAAGGGACAACAAAACAGTCGGATGATTCTATCCTGTTTTCCCTGTGTAGCTGAATGTTAACATTGTGTTACTTATGAGGTTTGACTAACCTGCTGTGTTGGAGACAATGATGGTGCATCGGTGCTATCTGTACGACACATGAGCAATGTTTAATTGCACAGGAAAGGGAAAAAAATCCTAAGGTGATTCTACCTCGAGGTCTGGCCGATCTCGCCCCACACATCTGAGACATGATAGAGGCCTGCAAAACATGTGGAATGATTGATGCCCGCATCAGGAATTGAACCTGCAGAACGGCAATTTTCTCTAGGTCACGTGGCTAGAGATGGCTTGTTTAACCACTTGACCATTGTGTCTGACTGAACTGGGCCGCGTGTATTGATGTATGTAGTAGACCTAACCACTTGACCATCGTGTCTGACTGGACCGGGTCGCGTGTAATGATGTATGTAAAAGATATAAATGCCCCATATTTGCCACGCTCTGCGATGGCCTGTCCTCTGGTAAAGGTACGTCTGTTGCCCCGTCTTTTGCCTGCTTGTTCCTCTTCGTCCACCTTTTACTCATGCCCGATATCTATATAGGGCCTCATGGATGCACTCAGCTCTAGTGCCGACAGCTCTTCGCCCATTTTGGTGTTGATCTTTACTCCGCATACACGGCCGCCAATGTTGAATTCCAGCTTCTCATGACATCGTGTTCTCATGTATTTACCTGTGTCATATATACTTGCAGATCTAAATTTAAGTTACTCACGACTTTGATTCCACTTCTTTCGTGTGATCTCCTATTGTCTCTGACCTGATTATCCTTTCAATAGGTTATGAGCCCCTTTTAGCTCGCCTATCTCACTCTGCTTCACTTGCTAACTAGTCTATGAGCACTCACTCTGACAAGGAACTTGCTGAATCATCACAAACCAGCCCTTGTCGCTCTACTCGCACCCCTCACCAAACCAAGTTTTATTGCGGCTCTCACGCCCCAACCTTCACTCGCGCTCGCTCTTCTCGAGACACTACTCCTCTAACCGGTGGCAACGCGCCCTCTGTTCATCCAACACCTGCTCCGCCCTCATTATCTTCATCATCTGAATCTGCTATGTCCGGAGCTGCTGGCGCATTCACCGCTCAGGGACCCACTCAGACTCTTGTGCCTTCTCGTTCTGGCTCTGCTTCTCCTCACGGCCATACTGGCCCTGTACCTCCTCCTGGCAGCCCCACTGGCCCTGGAGCTACTGGAGGCAGCTATTATGAGCCCTCCCCCGCTCCTGTCAATGATGTTGTGGTGAAAGATTTGTCAATCACCGAGAGCGATAAGATCTTTTTCCAAACGGGAAACCTCAAAACTGCCGAGGATTAGCTGATGTGGAAATTCCGCGTCAACAACGGCATGGTCGTTATCTCGCAATACTGCAAGGACTACATTGACATGCCTAAGCAGACTATTCTTGCTACTTTCAACACGATCATCAGGCATCTTGACGACTTCATCCTCACGCACTACTTGAACGAGTCGAACCCTGACGTACTCATGGCTAAGCTCAACAAACACTTCGACCCTACTATGAGTGTCACAGAGTCAAACAACCTGTTCAAACTCTTCCACTTGCGCAAGCCCATCTGGGAGCTTGACAAACTCCTTGACAAAGCGCACGACCTTTACGGTTGCATTGTTGCCAAGGGAGTCAACGTCTCACAATACATCTACTACTCCGCCATTGTCGGCATCATTCCTCCTGTGTACACCCATGTGCGCGCTACCTACAAAGCCACTGTCTGGCAGCACACTGCTGCTGGCACTGCACCTATTTTTGACCCTAATGTCCTCATCATGGACTTACATTGCGAGTTCGCCAACTACCGTGCAACTCACAATAACAAAGGGTTCAATAAGGCTGCTACCTAAAATGTGTTACGGACACCCAATTATCCATTATCTTTTTTCTTTTCTTTTCTTTTTCCGGACTCTCACGTGACTCAGCAATCCCCGTGACTCACGCTTGACTCATCTAGTTCTCGCGCCTTGTTTATGGTTGTTTGCCTCGTCATACCTATATAAGACTCCGCTCCCGCTTGTAACTTACTCTGAACCTTGATCTAGTCAATATACCGGCTACCTAGCCGCTTGCCTTGGTCTATCCGCTTGCCCCTTTGTCTGTGTTAGTAAGCGGCCGCCTAGCCGTTGCTGACAAAACGCACCTCGCGGCAAGTCCGAGAATGCTTCGCACGCGCGCAAGGACAAGGGCAAGAGTGCTGAGCACACCAACAAGTCTACCTCTGGTGCTTACACTGCTGCTGCTCCTTATGACAAGAAGCCAGACCCGTTGACGATCAAGTGCTACAACTGCAATGAGCTCGGACATACCATGCCTGATTGTCCCAAGGAATGGACTGAGAAGTCCAAGGTGGCAATGAAGAAGAAGAACATCACGCACAAGTCTGCCCAGCTCTGGCTGCTTGTGTTTTTACCCTTGTCATGGCAAAGTGACTTTACTGATGTGTAATTAACCACACAAAAGTGGCCTTGTAGTTGTAAAGCAATCTGCATGGTAATTGCCTTGTAGATTGTTTTACAATGACAGAGCTTGTTGTGGCAGATGGCTCGAGGATGCTCAGGCTGAGCAGCCACATGCTGTGGGTCCCCAATCAATTCTCGGGAACTCGGGCATGCCTGGGGACTCACGGACCCACCAATTAATTTAATTTGCTGCCCCTGGCCATCAATTAGCTACTGGCTAGCCTGGCTGCCCCCTCTACTGTATCCCCTGCCCCTGGCTCCTCTGTAGGTACTGTATAGTGTACTCCTAGCCTATATGTATTTATCTATGTCCTGTATTTGCTGTAGCAGCCCCTACAGGGCCAATAATAAATTCAGGCTTTTTTTGATTGCCAGCTCATCAGCAGTACTGGGAGAGCCAGTACAGGTATGACTAATCGCCACTACGAGTCAATAGCGTAGAGAACCAGCTTTCCAGATCAGTACCTGCCTTTATTACCGGTGAGAAACCTGTTCTGCAATTGACTGATTACTGGTGGGGACCCAGGGACCAGGAGCAGGTACCCAGTACTCAGTAACCACAGGACGGATTTCCCTGATTTTCAAACTGGGAGTAGCTACAGATATATGCACTGAATTCCAGTACCTGTGCCAGCAGTAGTGTACATTCCTACTGTAAGTGCCACACTTTTTGCTTTTCTGATTTCCCACTTTGCACAGAATGCCAAAATCAAAGCACTGCAGGTATAGCTATGCGCAGCTGATCTCGTGGCCTGACATGTATCATGTAACTACTGTATGTACCACACGGTCCCAGCTACAATAGTTAGAGTAATCGCTCACTGAGCAAATCTACCTTGATGATTCACCCTATAGTATTACCGCAAACTTTGCAGATTTGGAGGCCTTGTGCATAGTGGATCGCGACCACAAGACCACAACCCTTGGTGAAGATCCGGTGTGGCCCGGCACGGGGGCTACTCAACATCCTAATGGTGGGCCCGATGCGGAACACTCCTGGGCTATGCTCCATCTCCTACTCGCAGAGGGTTATTGCCAAGGAGTGCGCATCAAGCGGGTAGTGATCTACATGTGCTTCAGCAAAGGGTGGGACCTGGCAGAAGAGGTGTTCTGCCACGGACAATGGAACAAGAAATGCAACTGGGGCAAGATGTGCCAAAGCTTTTGCCCCGCACGTGAGGTGTGTGAAACTGTACAGTAGCACGTGAGGAACCGGAAATAACCGAGCCAGAGCGAGGGGAAGCGGACCGGAAAGAGCCGAGATGGGAACAGTGATCTAATCAGTCCCAATGAGGCAGGAGGGAGTCAGGAGCCGTAGAGTAAGCGGATAAATCCGGGAAAAATGGTGTAGGGGGTTTTGGAGGACGGCGAGTACGATGGTGTACAGTACGAGTCCGTCCGAGAAGCAGGAGACAGCGAATCACGAACACGAAACGAAAGAAATTCAAACAGAGAGCCAGAATTCAACACACCCTCCTGATGAGCCGCCTCTGCGAAGAAACACCCTCCTATTCCAAGCCAAGGGACGTCCGGCAGCGCTCAACGCGCGCAACGTCCAGGGCCTTGGTCAGGATGTCCGCCGGCATGTTCTCAGTGCCCACAAACTTGGTAGCGAGCATCTTGGCCTTGACCTGATCCCTGAGCCAGAAGAACCGCAAATCCAGGTGCTTCATCCGCCCATGGTGCTCCGGGTTCTTGGCCACGCTGATCGCGCTCTGGTTGTCCATGTGCACCATGTGCATGTG